AAGATTTCCACCCAGCATAGACTTTCAGAAATGTAAATGTTCTATTTTTTCACACAAACTAAGCTTCATATTATCTGTTTGAGTAGAATGTTATGGTACAGAAGTTGAATACACATAAAAGGTGAAGAGCAAGTTACACATTGTAATATTTTAAGGTATTAGAAATGATTGATAAAAATGAAGTATTTTAAATGAGTTACACGAGACTATCTCAAAGAATTACTGAAATGCCTCACTCTCAGCTAAAGAATTCAATAATTATGTACTACGTATTTACTTAATTTTAAAGTGACACATGTCCAACCCGTAGCCCACAGGCTGCATGTGGCCCAGCACAGCCTCTGCTCTGTTCTGCCCCCTGCCTTGTGCCATCATGGTGGCACCTCCTGCCTGCTGAGTGGCCTGGCCCAGCCCCGGACACCCAATAATCGCTTGGCAACTGCCAAAACATCAACAGGCCCAAGACAGTTCCTCCTCACTCAATGCATCCCAGGTGAGCCAAAAGACTGGACAACCAAGTTTTAAAGCATGTAAGATGTCTTTGGATTTATAAGAAAACGGTGGCTCTAAATGCACCTGTATTCACCAGTTTTCTGTAGATTTAGTAAAGTGTGTTGTATTTGCTGTTTCTCAGTAACTGTGAGAAGAGAGCTTTCCATAAGAATACATAGTAATTTGTACTGCCTAAATAATGACGAGATCTGTATTTCCTGACAGATCAGGACACACTGCCATTTCATAACCTTGCTTATACAGAGTCTAAGAAAAAACCAGACAGTATCAAACAGGACATGTAAACAAGAATAAATACAGCTTAAGGGAAACAGAAAAGAAAGTAGGTTTTTGTTACAGAGCAGGGAATCTTGAGACCGTGCAGCTGAGATAAGCACTAGTATCAAGCTTGTAAGACCAGTAAGAAAATACATGTTCCTAGCCTTGCCATTGATTTCCTATTTGAAAATGATTCTTTACAGTTCTAAAACTTTTGAATATAAGCAAATCAGTGTGCAAAAGATTATTTCAAATCACTTATTATATTTCATTTCATGTAAGCTGTCAAAGATTAAAGAAATGAAAGAAAATGAAAAAAATCTTTTCAAATCAGCTTAACATTTTACATTTATAGGTAGGTACTTTTTAAAAAGGAAATTGTATTTTCTAACTGTATGTTGCGGAGTTTTACTGTAAATGTAAATATTGTTATTCAAAAATAAATATATGGGACACCAATTTTTTTTAATTATTGAAAATATTTTTGCATCAAACTGATTGCTTGGCTGTAAGCAGTGCTACTTCCTTGAGTGGAAAATGAAAGCTTGCTGCTAAATTAATTGCAAAACAACAGACAAGGAGTTTTCCATTTTTCTTATCAACAAATGATGTTCTTGTTGTTTGCTTCCTTTTGTAACTTAGTTCATTCTCTATGATCTCTTTATTTTCTCTGTAATTGTCCCTGACTCTTACTTCCATTGAAACTGAAAACAACATACTTACAGTTTGTTTTCATTGATCAAGGATTCCTTCTGCCTTTTGGCCTCTTTGATAAGTCAGAATACATAATGAGTGAGCACAGAACAAAGCATTGAGAAGAAATTCCGAATGGGACTGCTGTATCAGGGAAGTTACTAGCAGATGATACACCAGGCCAAAGAAATTATTTCAGAATAAAGCATTATCCATCCAACTGCAGACCAGTGCAACGAAACTACTAGGGTCTGTGCTGATCCACAAATCACAGAAGATGTAAATTTATGTATCAGAAATCAATGTGCTATTTTAAACCACAGGTGGAAGGAAAAATAAACCTGACTCATCTCTGAACTCAAACCTATCTAAATGAAGACAAGATGGCTGCGGCCACCATTTTCCCTGTGCAGCTGGGCCGGTGCCATCATGCCTATAGCGGACCTGGCAGAGTGGGGAGCCACATGGAGAGCTTTTGGAAGGGCCACGAGGCTGCTGTGCTGTGGCTGCTGGTGCCTGAGCACCCTCCAGGCTAGGCTACCCCTCTTACAAAGAAAAGCTAAAGGGGCTGGGATGGTTCAACCTGGAGAATGCTCCAGGGAGACCTCACTGTGGTCTTCTACTGCTTAAGGAGAGCTTATAAACAGGAGAGAGACTTTTTAATACGCACAGATAGCAAGAAGGGGGATGGTTTTAAAATAAAATGTGAGACTTAGATGTCAGGAGAAGATTATTTAGTCAGAGGGGGTTGAGGACCTGTCACAGGCTGCCCCAAAAAAATGTTGGTGTCCTGTCATAGGAGGTGCTCACAACTAGGCTGGATGAGTCCCTGGGCAGCCTGATCTGATGAGTGATATTCCTTCCCATGGCAAGGGGTTGGAACTAGATGATCTTCAAGGTGCCTTCCAACCTAATCACTTTTGGTAATTTTATTTGGCTTATCAATTGAAAAATTTTGCAGTGAGACTGTTTCTAATACATACTGAATTTACTGGCAATGTATTGGATGGCAGAGTAGAATCCTGGATGACTGATGACTTAACTCAGAAAACTGCAGGCCGTTGTGCCAACATAATGATCTAACTTCTCTCCTGAGTCAACGCGTGGCTCCTTAAGCCAACTTTAAGGACAGATCATGAAGGCACATGAGATCTGTCCAACCTAACTGTCAAACCATTCTGCAGATTCATGCTGAAGCACCTATTAACTTTAAATATGATTTCACGATGTTTACATCAAATTTAATCTGTAAAATGCTGGAATTAAGCAGTACTGTTTATGAGGATTCATATTCATTACACTTGGAAATCTAATTCTTCTTGCGGAATCACTATACTAACTCAACTATGAACACATAGGTGTATCCAACACAACACACACAGACCACCCTTATGTGGCTTCTTAAATTAAAGACCTATAAATTAAATTGGTAAACAGGTAAAGTCTTAAAAGCACAAAGGAAAACTATAAGACATGTATCTGTGCTTGCAGTACGCAGTACATGTAAATATGTTTATTTTGTACCTGCAGTACCCATTTCATAACTTAGACATCCAGGCATGAAGTCAGTCCTGTAAGGCATTCTAAACTTGTTCCCCTCTTTGCCACATACAAATACCTGGACTACCTCTAAAATAGACAGTCTAGGCAACAATAGGGTGCTTGGGTGGGATGCCATACTTGCCCAAAGGTAACTCAGACAATCTTTTTCAAAAACCACGGTGTCTTCCTCCCTTAAGTTGAATAGTATTACTTAGTCTATAAAGAAAAAAAGATGTAGTTCACTTAAAAAAAAAAAAAATAACCTGGCATTGTGTCATCACTTTCATATTTATTTTTCAAACAGCTTAATTCTCTGAGGGGTAGTGCCCAATGTGAATGAATGGTCAGAGAGCATGTCCCAGATATCCTGGAAAAATTTAGCTCAGTGGCTGACTGACTACTTTTGTCTAGAAGAAAAGACATGCCTTCTGGCTTAATCAAATACAGGCTTCATAAGAAACTGCTTCCAACCAGAGATGGATTTAGTCAGCTTAGTTGTAAAAGGCTGGTAGGAGATCTAAACGAACTAATGCAACTGGAAACACACCAGCATGTCCTTAATATGGCCGGAATAAGCATTATTGACATTACCAGGTTCCAATACTACAACAGCATATATTGATCCATTCGATATTGATCCTGTGCCTCATTTTGTATTACTTTGGTCTATTACTGTAGTTCTAGACATTGTGTCTCAGTCAACAATATTTCAGGTATCTCCTTAAATCTGGTACATTGTGAGCCACATAATTATTTTACTGTGTTTTGACAATATGGAAAAGATTAAGCCCAAATTAGTCTTGAATACCTTCAATTGGCTTTTCTCAGCAGAATTCAAAGGAAGTCTGGGGTGGGGGGACTAGTGAAGGGCACCTGCCTTCTGCTGTAATTAAGTAGGAGGAGAGGGTCTCAGCATCATATTGTGCTGCAAGGTTCCTTATATGAGGATATCCAATGCCAGAGTAGATGAGCTGTGTGGCATTATTTTGGTGAGAGAGAGAAATCACTTTCACTCCCCGACTTTCCAAACCTTCCTTTCCCTTTCCCAGAAAGATCCGTTGCTCTACAGAGAAGTACTGACATACCTACTACAAACTGTTATCATAAAATACTATTTTACCCAGGGATCTTCCATGTTTACGGATTTACTAAACTTATTGATTTCTTAATAGCTGATAATGTTTCGACATTGCTAAGGCTTTTAAAGACCACAGGCATCATACAAAAACATTCTGTCAGCATTTACAGAGCTACCACACTCTGTTCCTCCCTTCTTTCCTTCAGAAATATACCATGCTTTTATACTTCCGAATAACAGAAAATAAAACTGAGTTTCTAAAAATGATTGCAATGGATTTCTCTCCTTTGTTCCTTTATTGTTGCTTTTAGTAAAGGTAGGTCACTAACAGTGAAATGTTAAGGTGTAATTTAAGCAAATACGTACCAGAAAGCATGTGACCCTTAAGAAGCAGTCCACATTTCTATCTTGACTAAAATATCAACTAGAAAAACTAAAATTATAATTAAAAAACCATTTAAAAACAACAACAACAACAAAAATTAAAACAAGCAAACAAACAAACAAAAAAAACAAATCCAAAAAGACACTAAGCATTTAGGTACAGAGACAACTCTCAATGGATGATTTGAAGAAAAAGAAGTTACTTGATCCAACCTCCTTAATAACCAGATGTTTGCAATCATCAAAACCACATCTTTAGCTGAAACAATTTCTCTGTTCAGAGCATTCAGTCTCTAAGAGCATTTACATAACAATATGTGACACCTCTAATGCTTAAGGCCACCAACCATGGCAGTACAAATTACAGTCATTTTTCAATACTCAGTGCAAGGTGCACCACTTCCAATTCTTGGATTGGTTGCATGCTGTGTTGGTTTCTGCAGTGAGACACGACCAGCATGCACCACAGTTACAAACAGTTTGCAGCCTTTGGAAATTCACAGTGTTTGGTAAAAGAGGCTGATTTCCTTACCCGCCGTAGGCTGGAATCGGAGGGGGGGGTGCTGCTGCACGAAACGTGTTGTACACTGTGCGACCTCGGCCTCTTAGGTGGGCACCTCTGTATGCGGCAGCTGCAGTTGCAGCAGGGTAGGGAAATCCTGGCACTGCACAGAAAAGAAGAGAAATACAAAATATTCAGATCAATCTGGTGTTTTAAAACTAGGTAAAAGTAGTGTAGCAGTATTGTTGTGCCTATATTAAAGCACGGTCTTTAACTGGATGAGGTGGATATTGTCAAATAAGTAAATTATTAGTCATTCAACCAGAGGCCTCATTATCTTACATAAGATCTTTGTATTCCCTGCAAGCTGGGAATTTAGATGGCATTAACACAGGTAGCTCTGATGTCCCTAGAAGAGACTCATTAATAAAAACAATGCTGTCTGTTGCAGACAGCACCTCTAAAAAGAGATGTTTGAAGCCAACAACACTCAGCCCAGGCACAAATTTATATCACCAGAGAAATTTCTGGATCTATTTTCCAAGCAGGTGTGAAACACTGGACCAAGTGACGTCCAACAGTCCCCTTTTGATCTGAATAATTTGATGATTTTACAAATGCAACGGAGCTTCCATTTTCAAAAATTTGATTACTAATAGGTCTGAGTTGTATATCAAGGGGAAAAAAAGAGAGAGCAAGAGCTTTCTCAGAGTTTGGGAGGTATATCATGTTTATGATGGTACATATTATTTTTTCATAGGCAAAAGCTGAATAGTTTGTAAATATGTGAATTCAGAAAATATTCAGACCTAATAGAAATAAATTAGATATATAAAGAAGAAACAGACAATTTTATATTGTCATTGCATGTAGCTGTAAACATTAATTACCATTTCACACAAAACAACATATTTTCATCAGAAATATAGTAGTAATACAGTGGTAAGTTTTATTCGTTTTCTGTAAAATATCTCTAAAACTCCCCTGTTCACAAATACTTTAATTAAAAGAAATGAAAAAATGAAACTTCCTATTTTATTTTACTTTTTTAAAATGAATACTTAATTAGTCTTTTCTTCTTTAGACACATGTTGCTGGCTACTGTTAAAATGTCTTTTTGGAACCAATTCATCAGTGAGACACAGAAAATTAAATCCAGCTCTGATGGCACTCAGGTTACTTTAATTGTGCTTCAACATACTGAATTATTTACAGCATGTAAATAAAGAGATACATTAATATTGCTTTGTAACACCCTGATAAAAGCAAATGAAGGAAATGATGACTGAAACAGTTTTTCAAGTCCGAAATATGCTTTCATTTCACATTTGTCTTTCATCTGTTAAATTTTTAAAATAGCCTTGAATTTGAAATAAAGACAAAAAAAATCTCAACTTGTAAATGTTATTAGATGAAATGTAAAGGAAAATACTGTAATAATGGTGACTTCAGTATTGCCTTAATGCTATGCCTCATTTGGACTGTCCGGTCCCTCTCTCTGAAGAGTATGGCCATGAAATCATGCCTGAAATTGTACATATCTTAAATAACAAGCCTAAAGCTTAGTATTCTGTAGCTACCTTTAATAAATGTAGTTTTAGGGAACTGCCAAGAATAAGAGAAATTGATCTGACTTAAATGTCACTAACAAGCATGAATTGAAGTCTGATCAGCTTTGAGCAGTTTGGATAACTTCTTCACTTACATGTGCTTCTATAGTTCTTTACATACTGAAAACGCACTTCTATGGAGTAGCAGAAGCAGCTGTAAAGAAAAATAAACCAACTCGAGAAATTCTAAACTCAAGCAATCAAATGGGGATTTAACAACCCCGTGGATTTACATGTAATCTGAGAACCTCTACTCTTAAGATCTGTTTCAGCAGTCAGTTCTTAGCAGTTAACATATTTAGCTATGTTTCAAGAAGTAAATAGTTCATCTTTCGGAAAAACAAAACAAAACAAAAAAAGTCAGGGTTCCAGACAGTTTTGCTTCCGTAAAATGTACTGTTTGAAATCAACTCGTCCATTTCTCTATGTAGAGTGGGAGGTGTATAAGTAATGGGCCTGTCTCTTCATTTCAGATGAAAAAAGTAACAGTGGCTAATGTTTTTGTATTTCTTCATTACTTTTAATTATACCATTAATATAGCTTTCACACACACACACAAAACAATGCACAAAAACTGCAGTAATTTTGCAAACATTTATGAGAGATGCTAAGACCAGAAGGGGATTTCTACCATTTTCAAGGAATCTGATTTTTTTCTATGTTGTATTAAAATGGAAAGCCTGAATTAGTCCCACGGTTATGCTATGCTCATCTCATATGTATTGACTCCTTAAGAAAATCACAAAACACAACACATCTAGAGTAAAGCAGAACTCTAGAAAATCTTACAGAAGCAACAAGTAAAATTTAGAATAATGATCTGCAGTTCTGTCACGAAGAAGATAAGTCATAATGGAAACTAAATCTGAGAAATATGGAACTATGAATGGTGTTGCAAAGTCTTACAGAAAGCGATCTCATATGAAGTAGAATTACATCCATCCCCCAGAAATGACTTGGGTCATCCTGATAGAGCTGTGAAAACATGCCTTCTAATTACAGATACATTATTAAAGACTGCAATTATTGCCAGAGGTATAGTAATTGGTAAGATCATGTCAGCCTAGATTTGAGTTCAGTAAAAAAAAATGATGCTGCTTTATCCCAGCTGAGAAATCAGGTGGTTAGGAGCATGCAATAACCACAGAATTTATTTTGCTACCAACTTTTTAATATCCTCAACCCCAAAATAACCAGAAGTAACACCACTGGAACATAACTGAATAATGGACTTAATAAAAACAATTTTATGAGATGGTCTTTCCCATCAGGAAGCATTAAGAGGCATCAACCAGCCCCCAAAGTAATGAATATACTAGCCAGGAGGGTTAAGAATTTAATGACTTCCAGTTTGTAGGTCAACCTTCCTTAGTGCCTCCGTGCCAAACTACTGAAACTCAGTCACTGAAAATGCTAATATAATGGCATAGAAAATGTGTTTGACCATCAGCTAGGAAGCATCAGAGTATCTTTCTAAATAAAAATAGCTTAAATGTATCAAAGTAATTTGATGACTGGAATTCTGATCTGAGATAGGGAAAAGGGAAATTTCTCCAACTGCTCGTTACTGGTAACAATATGAGGTTAAACAAACAAAGAAAAAAACAGAAAAAAAGTAAAACAAAACAACAAAAAAACCCAACACAAAACCTGCATCTCTAAGAACTTCATACAATCAAATATAAGCCAAAGAGGCAATTCACTTTCTCATCTAATAGTCCCTATCAGTTCTATAGTTGGTTATTATGTTATTCAAATGTGAATGGCACAACAGTAACAACATAAAAGCAATTAATACAATGGAAATACAATTTTTCTTTTTCTAATGAAAAAGAGTAAAAGCACTTGTTTGTTGCCTAGTATGAGTATCAAAAAGCATTCAAATAATCTTTTATTACAGCCTAACTTAAAAAAAAAAAAAAAGAAAAAAAAAGGAATGCTAATTTGGTAAAATCTCTTATTTAAATGTCTTTGTTCTACACTTAAGATTAAAAAACAAAAACAAAAAAACAAACAAACAAAAAAAAAACAACACAAAAAAAAGTCAAAAAACAACAACAAAAAAAACCCACTTATATTATTACATTGAAAATTGTCCAAAAAATCATCTGCATGCTTTGTAAACATGGAAACACTGTCTTGGTACTTCCTTCATCAAACTTCAGTTTAGATCTTAAGCGTTTAATTTGGTCAGCACAATGCAACGTTTCTGAAAGATAAAAGCCTTTTGGGATTAACAGGACTTGCTACAATGTGGGTAAAATTTAGGTAAATAACAATCTCATATAGGAAAGAAATACAGGTATGAGATACAGATCCCTTTCATGCCAATCACAGTTGTGTTCACAAATTAAATTTATTAAAATCTTATTTTCTCCCAAAACATATAAGCGTTGGTTTTGTTCATCTTCTGCTAAATAAAAATGACAGATAGTTGACTTTCTAGACACCAGATCTCCACCTAAGCATTGGAAAACAGACTGAGCATTGATAAAGCTTGAGTTCTGAAAAGGAGGAACATAACCTGCTAAAATAATACTTAAGGGTTACACACTGTATATTAAAGTTTTAAAGCTTTGGGATGGATGAAAGTGTAGCAGATGTAAAAAACAATAGGGGGCAGATTTTGTATCAAAGCCATAAAAATATATGGCCATTTTAATGGGCAATTATTCTTTGCATTTGTGCTGTGGTTTGAATTTGTATGAATGTGCCATATGCCTCAAGAAAGGTATGCCATCAAAATGGATGAATGAATCTACCCCTCATCACTCCTAATCTCTCCTGCTCGGCACAAATCATAAGGTCATCTGTTATCAAGAATTTTCCAGTGTTTTATGTTGAAGAGTTTTAATGGTACATCGTGTTGGAAGTGGTTCGTAGCTCATTTACTACAAGGTAGTTTAACTGTTAGAAATGAAGGAACACACATTTATATTATCACCATAGTTTAAAAAGATCCTTGTTGAGGAAACACTTCAGAAGTGCGGGACAACAAATTAAGAGCAAAGAAGAGAATGATCTGTATCATACCATCTGAGATTGCTGAGACAGAATCAGGAATTTTTCCTGATGTGCGTTTTATGTCAACTGACTTTTCCACTGGTATGAGTAGTACTACGTAGCTTTAATTGGCATTTTCTTTAAGAATTATAAAAACTGTTAGAGAGAATACTTGTAGAATTTTGCATTTAAATACACAGTCAAAACTGCCTTGCAAGTAAAAGCTCCATTATCACAGCTTTTAAAATGACAGTTTTAAAAATCATGTATATATATATATATATATATATATATATACATCACATGCATAAATTTCAAAGTTCAAAAAAATCTTTAGAAAGTTCACAATGCTTAGTAACAAACTAAATACCCTAAAACTGCATTTATTTTTCACCTATCATTTCTGTGAGATCATTATCCCCGGGATCCAATTGTGAATTAACTGAATTCAAAAGAAATTTGCCATATACATCAAACAGACATGACCAGTTCCTTCTATTTCTTTCATTCAAAACACAAACCTTATGTTTGTTTTTGAAACCTACTCAG